CATTGCCTCCAGAATTTCTACTTTCAGCATTTTTTGACTATCCCATGGGCCATGTTGAAATCTCAGTCAAAATTGGGTCCAGGTGTACTTCGATTTGCCAGGATAATTGAGGTGAAAAACAAAAACAAAAATAGCACTGAAGGCAAATTTCTGTGACCTTGTTAATTTGCCAGGAGTTTTCAATCTTCTTACTGCTGAAAGCAGGGTCCAGGGAGCAGGCAATGGAGGAAAAGTTCTAAGGATGTGCACTTTACATTAAGTTCAGAGCATTTTAGCATTGGAAGAAAAAACACTCCGTGGGAGAAGAGTTTGACAGTGATGCCTTGGTGTTTGGAATCATAGGCTAAAAAGCACAGCCCTGACCTGGGCAAAACCCTCTTGCAATGAGAATACCACTAATGAATACTTTAATGGCATCAGGCCTAGGAAAAGAACGGACCCTAATACCTGAATGGGCTGACCTAGGCTGCTGATTCAGCTGCCTTGCAGAAACTCATTGACTTTAATAGAGCTCTGCACATGGGTTGACGGGCAGCCGAATGGATCTGCTTGCAGTGCGTGGCTCTTACAATCTATCTAGCTTAGGGTTTCATATTTCTGCACCTTACTGTAGGATCTAGAGATACTAGGGAACAGGATGACCACTGCCTCCTTCTTCACCTATTTATAATGTGTATAATAGGAGTAAGAACTGTGTGATCATGGGGAACGTCAGTTTGAGTGACACATGCTGGAGGTCTCATGCTGCCAGCACTAAAATATCCTGGACTGTTGATTTTCAATGAGCGTTGGAGTACTGTGGCAGTTCCAGAAGACTGGAAGAAAGCTAATAGTATGCACATTTTTAAAAGAGTAAATGGGATGACAGAGATAATCTCACATCGGGTAATCAGACATTAGTCTGACATTGATCCCAGGCAAGATAATACAACAGCTGATATGGGACTTGATTAATAAAGAATTAAAGGAAGGTAATGTAATAATGATGATCACTTTAGATAAACTATTACCAGCAGGACAGTGGGGTGGGAGGGGGTATTGTTTCATGGTCTCTGTGTGCATATAATGTCTACTGCAGTTTCCACGGTATGCATCCGATGAAGTGAGCTGTAGCTCACGAAAGCTCATGCTCAAATAAATTGGTTAGTCTCTAAGGTGCCACAAGTCCTCCTTTTCTTTTTGCAAAGACAGACTAACACGGCTGTTACTCTGAAACCTAATGTAATTAATGCAAGTCAACATGGGTTTATGGAGAATAGATCCTGTCAAACTAATCTGATACATTTTTTGAGATTACAAATTAGGTTGATAAAGGTAAGTGTGTTGATACACTATCTTTAGACTCCTGTAAGGCACTTCACTTGGTAGCACACCACATTTTGCTTAAAAAACTAGAATTATATAAAATTAATATGGTACACATTAAATGGATTAAAAACTGGCTAACCAATAGGTCTCAAAACCTACTGTACAAGAGGAGACTTAAGGAGCTTGGCTTCTTTAGCCTAACAAATCAGGGAGATAAACACCAGAGAGTGAGAGGAGTTATTTAAGTTAATGGTCAATACTGGCACAAAAACAAATGGATATAAACTGGTCATCTGTAAGTTTAGGCTTGACATTAGACAAAGGTTTCTAACCATTAGAGGCGTGAGGTTTTGGAACAGCCTCCAAAGGGATGTACTAGGGGCAAAAACCCTAATTTGTTTCAAGATTGAGCTTGAGAAATTTATTGAGGGGTATGATGAGATTGCCTAGAATGGCATATGGCCCCTCCGTGACTACTATTACCAAATATCTCCAGTGGACAGAGATGGGACACTAGATGGAGAGGCTCTGAGTTACAACTGTGGTTGGAAAGGCTCTGAGTTTAGAACAGGTATCTAGCTGGTGGGTCTTGCCCACATGCTCAGGGTCTAATTGATCACCATATATGGGGTTGAGAAAGCATTTTCCCCTGGGTCAGATTGGCAGAGACCCTGGGAGTTTTGTGCCTTCCTCTGCAGCATAGGGCATAGGTCACTTGCTGGTTCGAATTATAGTAAATGGTGAATTCTCTATAACTTTAAGTCTTTACATCAAGATTTGAGGACTTCAGTAGCTCACCCAGAGGTTATGCGCCCACTACAGAAGGTTCTGTGACCTGAGATATGCAGGAGGTCAGAGTACATGATCATGATGCCCCCCTCTGAACTTAAAGTCTAGGAGTCTAGGGGGAAATCATCATTGAGCGGGTGTATTTCCAGTGGGGTCCCACAGGGATGGGTTCATGGCCCTACACTATTGAACATTTTTATCAATGACCTGGAAGAAAACATAAAATAACCATTGATAAAGTTTGCAGATGACACAAAAATTGGGGGAGTGGTAAATAATGAAGAGGACAGGTTACTGATACAGAGCAATCTGGATCGGATGGTAAACTGGGCACAAGCAAACAATGTGTGTTTTAACACAGCTAAATGTTAAATGTATACATCTAGGAACAAAAAACTAGGCCACACTTACAGGACAGAGACTTTATCCCGGGAAGCAGTGACTCTGAAAAAGATTTGGGAGTCATGGTGGATAATCAGCTGAACATGAGCTCCCAAAGTGACTGTTACCAAAAGAGCAACGTGATCCTAGGATGCATAAACACAGGGGAATCTCGACTAGGAGTACAGCGGTTGTTTTACCTCTCTATTTGGCACTGGTGCAACCATTGTTGGAATACTGTGTCCAATTCAAGAAGGATGTTGAGAAATTGGAGAGGATTCAGAGAAGAGCCACAAGAATGTTTGGGGGATTAGAAAACCTGCCTTATAGTGACCGACTCACGGAGCTCACTCAATTTACGCAAGGAGCTCCATCTATTTAGCTTAACAAAGAGATAGTTAAGGGGTGACTTGATCATAGTTATAGGTATATACATGGGGAATAAATATTTAATAATGGACTCTTCAGTCTAACAGAGAAAGGTATAACATGATTCAATGGCTGGAAGTTGAAGCTAGAAAATTTAGATTGGAAATAAGGTGTACATTTTTAATGGTGAGATTAATTAACCTTTGGAACAATTTACCAAGGGTTGTGGTGGATTCTCCATCCCTGACCATTTAAAAATCAATATTGGATGTTTTTCTAAAAGCTCTGCTCTAGGAATTATTTTGGGGAAGTTCTCTGGCCTGTCTTATACAGGAGGTCTGACTAGATGATCACAATGATCCCTTCTGGCCTTGAAATCTATGGATCTATTAATCTGACTGGTACACAAAAGAATCTTAGTTAGGCACCCAACTTTCATTGAATTTCAATGGCATTTGGGCACCAAATTCACATAGACTCCTTTGAAAATCCCAACAAGTCTTTCATTTATAACTAGACCGGAAGAAGCCCTACGAAATATACGGCAGGGAAAGAGCCTGCATTGGAAAGGAAATGGGTCCAAGCAGTCTTTTCAATTTCCATCTTCATAAAGTCCAGTCTGCATGAATGCTGCAGTAAGTTAATTACTTATCTAAACAGAACCTCTTGTTATTGCGCAATTTTGCTTGTATGTGCATCATCTAAGAATATCTCCTTTCTGCCTACGTCGGACATTTTCTAATTGCATCTTCCTCTTGTGAATAAAGGAGAGGTGAGCCAGGAAAAGGTCACGGAGGAGAGGATCTGAGGAACTCAAAACAAGTGGCACAGTGGCTAAGAAACCTCACAATCAAGACTCATTAGGGCCACGCACATTAGCCGAGCAACCTGTGGAGTTTAAGCCGAAGATTTCCCAAGCTGTGCTGCAGAGCAGCAAGTAGCAGCCACAAGGCAGGCAGGTTTACAGGCTTCCTGCTCCCGATGGGACAAAACATGAAACAGTCAGAAACCACTGAGAAAGGAGTGTGCTGGATGATGCTAACGACTGACGGGGAAGAGAAGAGGAAACATGTAGAGCTATCACAGAACTGTATGTCCTCGCGTGACTCAGATGGGTCCCAGGGGGCCAATTCATTTCTGTTGGAAGGATCTCACATCTGGGACTCCAGGTATCTGATGAAAATATCTCAGTTTCTATAGCACCAAACGTTAGCACTTACCAAACTGGTTTTATTTCCCCCGCTTCCTTCAAATGGTTTCTTTTTTTAGGGCCAATGGAAAATTTATCACAATGTGCAGCTTCCCACCAGGTTTATTTTGAGAGTGAAACTGAACTGCTGAGTTAAGACTTACGAACATAAAATCGCACTTGTAGTAGGGTTAGCACGGGGATACACGATACCAACATCTACATAAAATGCACGCAGTGGTCTCGCTCTCTAAAAAGTGAACATTTATCAAGTTACCCCACATACATGGAGACTGTTTCCTATTGTAAATATAAGGAAAGCTGGGGCCTGTCAGACACCACTGGGTAGAAGCTGTTTCTGCCTGTTTCAGTGAGCGAGGTCTTGCTTCCTGGGCGTTGCTTGCTGAGTATGCCTCCAAGCTGGTGCTGATGTGTTTAAGGAGCATAGTGGACGCAGCATATTCTTATGGAGCTACAACAATACGTACATAACAAACCCAAGAAACTGTCTGGCCTTCCTTTTGTGGCCCTTGTTCTCCCTTCCCTCTCTTGCCGCTTTTTTTGCTCCCAGAAATCTTGATTGTAAACTCCTCAGGGCAGGGTCTGTGCCTGTAAGGTCCGGCTGCACTGCAATAAAAAACCCTGTGGCACCGAGTCTCAGAACCCAGGCCAGCTGACTCGGGCTTGCGGGGCTAAACATGTCAATGTAGACATTCAAGCTCAGGCTGGTATCTCGGCTCTGAGACCCTCGCTCCTTGTGAGGTCTCAGAGCCCGAGCTCCAGCCCGAGTCTGAAAGGCTACACTGCAGTTTAATAGCCCCACAACCAGAGCCCTGCGTCAGCTGAGCCAGGCTCTGAGACCTAGTGCCATGAGTCTTTTCTTGCAATGTAGACGTGCCCTAAGATGCCGGTTTTGGGTGCTGCATAAATCAATCAATCTGTATAATCTCTTAGGAATCTTTACCTCAGATTTTACTGAAAATATTTCTTCAGGCTTGCTGCTTCGGCTTCCATTTCATCCTCAGACCTCCACTTGACAGGGGAGTCCTCTTCTCCTTTGTCGTGACGGTCCAGCTTTTTAGGAAAACACAAAACAAAAAAGAGTGGAGTTATTAATGGTTTCCCAATGCTTCCCCTGTCAAAACCGCCATGGGAGTGGGCATGTGTGGTATGGATGGACTGCTGAGCTAGGCCTTGGATGGTATCGACGGACTCAGGGGATGGGAGAGAGTGGTAGGAATGCAAAGGGTGAGCCCTGATGGATTCTGTTGGATTCTCAGGGTGGGAGGGACTGGCAGTGATGTTCATGTGTGAGGGGAAGAGCAGGTTGTGACGTTGCACTCTATATGATTTTATAAAAATATGCGAATGAGTGTGAATATAATGTAACTGGGGTATGCTTCATGAAAAAGTTGGGTATGAGTCAACAGTGTGCCCTTGTTGCCAAGAAGGCCAATGGCATTTTGGGATGTATAAGTAGGGGCATTGCCAGCAGATCGAGGGACATGATCATTCCCCTCTATTCGACATTGGTGAGGCCTCATCTGGAGTACTGTGTCCAGTTTTGGGCCCCACACTACAAGAAGGATGTGGAAAAATTGGAAAGAGTCCAGCGGAGGGCAACAAAAATGATTAGGGGACTGGAACACATGACGTATGAGGAGAGGCTGAGGGAACTGGGATTGTTTAGTCTGCGGAAGAGAAGAATGAGGGGGGATTTGATAGCTGCTTTCAACTACCTGAAAGGGGGTTCCAAAGAGGATGGATCTAGACTGTTCTCAGTGGTAGCAGATGACAGAACAAGGAGTAATGGTCTCAAGTTGCAGTGGGGGAGATTTAGATTGGATATTAGGAAAAACTTTTTCACTAGGAGTTTGGTGATACACTGGAATGCGTTACCTAGGGAGGTGGTGGAATCTCCTTCCCTAGAAGTTTTTAAGGTCAGGCTTGACAAAGCCCTGTCTGGGATGATTTAGTCGGGGATCGGTCCTGCTTTGAGCAGGGGGTTGGATTAGATGACCTCCTGAGGTCCCTTCCAACCCTGATATTCTATGATTCTATGAAAAGGGTCTCTTGTAAGGTATCATTACAAAGCTTATAATCTACTGAATGTGGTCATCCTATTTGTATGACTGTGTCATTCTTGTATCTGAAACTAGAAATATGAAATATAACTCTGTGGGCCTATTGTAATTATGCAAAGTGTGGGCCATTAATATTGGTTTGGAACCTTGATGGCCTCCATTAACCAGGACAATTGACTGTAGATGGCTCTGTTTTACTTGTAAGTCTTCCTGTATACCTGTGTGCTGGCAAGTGGGTAATGAAGTCTTACAGTGACATATGATCATGTCACCTGAACTGGAATCCATCTTTAACCTGGTGCTTTTCCATTGAGAAGGAGGGGCGGGAACCCAGAGAGGGACAGAGGATTCCCACCTTATGCAAAAGATATATAAGTGGGTGGAACAGAACAAAGGGGGAGGCAGTCATGAGAAATCCCGTAGCTACCACCTGAGTTGGAACAAGGGCTGTACCAGGGGAAAGGATTGTGCCCAGACTAGGAAGGCATCTAGTCTGTGACAGAAGCTTATTGAAACATCTCTGAGGGTGAGATTTTATCTGTAGTCAGTTTTCTTACTGTATTAGGTTTAGACTTTGGTGTTTTATTTTACTTGGTAATTCACTTTGTTCTGTCTGTTATTACTTGGAACCACTTAAATCCCACTTTCTGTATTTAATAAAATCACTTTTTACTTATTAATTAACCCAGAGTATGTATTAACACCTGGGGGGTGGGGGACAGCTGTACATATCTGTCTATCAGTGTTATAGAAGGCAAACAATTTATGAGTTTACCCTGTATAAGCTTTATACAGGGTAAAATGGATTTATTTGGGGTTTGGACCCCATTGGAAGTTGAGCATCTGAGTGTTAAAGACAGGAACACTTCTTAAGCTGTTTTCAGTTAAGTCTGCAGCTTTGGGGTCTGTGGTTCAGACCCTGGGTCTGCGCTGGAGCAGACGGGCGTGTCTGGCTCAGCAAGACAGGGTGCTGGAGTCCCAGGCTAGCGGGGAAAGCAGGGGCAGAAGTAGTCTTGGCACATCCAAGAGGGTTTCTGTGATCCAACCCGTCACACAGGTGTTTTGGGATGTCAGCTGAGTGTTTTGGAGGGAGTTGTGCTGGCGGCAACCACTGTGACATTTTATAAGAATTTTATGCGAAATTTCCCTCTGTTTTTTGCTTCGTCATGTGGGCAGGTGTGGCCATAGCCCCAAACTTCCTGCATTAGAGAGGCGCAGCTGCCAGCATTCTGCAGAGGACCAATGGTTTGTTCAGCTGCTTTTCAATACAGGCACCTTTTCTCCCTTTCCCCACCCTCCCCATGCCAAGAGCATGGATACATACTCCCTGTCCCAGGCACAAAACCTCTTACTCAGTATTTCCATTGCCCATCTGAATGGGGATAATCACACACATGTGAATTATTTAAACTTTGCACAGAGCTTGGCAAACAGGCATCCAACAAAGTGCTGTCTACTGCACAGTGAGTGCTCAGTGCTGTTATTGCTGATGTGGCCATTAGGAACACTGTCCTGGACTCACCAATGGAGGAGAGACAGTCATACTTAGTGGTAAAACCTCATTTTGCTGACTAGTCACACATATGTCGCCTCAAAAATAGCTGCCACTGATCATACAAAGAGTATTATTACCGAAGATGGAACACAAATCATAAACAATCACATTAAAGCCTTATTTTGGTTCCAAAGTATTGCAGATTTTTAATGTGTCTCGGTACAGAATGCCGTGTGGAGCAGATTCATCGCATCAGTGCTTCCAAAGAAGAACATTACAATATCAACTTTTTGGTTGTTGTCACAGACAGTTGCTGAAAATAATGAATTTGCACCTCTTATTCATGAACAAACGTTAGTCCTGAAAATGAAGCAGTTAAGAGCAGCGCTCAAAACAATGTTGCATTTGCCAAGCAAACTGCATTGCCATATATGGCGTGTTTAGCAATAAACTAGGATTATTAGCATATATCCAACCCACAAATACTTTTATTTGTGCGATATTTCTCCTGCTCAGAATTCTTCTGCCAGCTAAAGTCCTATGCAGTGTTACATTCTGCTACACAGATTTCATATTCTGCTATTACCTTCCATATCACGGCAGATATGATATAATAGCTGTAGGCAAATTAAACTGTATTAGTGTTCCACTAGTAGAGGACTAATTTTCATTTTTTATAGGAGCTGTAGGTACGTTATAAATCCATCTCATAACAATTTCACAGGATTAGAGAGAAAGGTACAAAAACCAGGGGAAGGTACATTGCTTATGTTGTCACCCTAGATCCTTTCTGCCTCCAGGACTTGCATCAAAGAGAAGGCTGGATGTTAAGTGTCTTTAAACGAAGGCCACTAATCATGAGACTGCATCTTCCAATGGGGGAATGTGAAGGTGTCTGGGGTTATTAGGGTAACAGTCTTGGTTTCCTGTGTTTCCTGGAGGGTAATTAGCTGTAGCCTAGAAAGCATTTACGGGACACCTGCAATCAGTCTTAAAGCCCCCATAGCTTCTAATGACGAAAATGTGTCATGTGGAGAAGCTCATTTCTTCTTGGTATCTCATTTGCACACCTCAGGCCGTCCCCGTCCATGGTCCCTTTTGTCTGATTACACCCCTTCTCCCATTGCCCAAGTCCTGAACAACATCTTCCTCTCTCGGCCCTTGCCCCGTTGTGGTCCTGAGCCACTTCTCTCCTGCGGTCACCTCCAGGACCTGAGCAGACTTTTTCCTTGTCAGGGCCCTCTCCCAGACCCTGAGCAGTTGCCCCTTTCTCTTACTCCCCTGAATCCACTGCTACCTAAGAGGGAGAGAAGATCTTAAGGTCAGGCTTGACAAAGCCCTGGCTGGGATGATTTAACTGGGAATTGGTCCTGCTTTGAGCAGGGGGTTGGACTAGATGACCTTCTGGGGTCCCTTCCAACCCTGATATTCTATGATTCTATGATTCTATGATCTTGATTCTACCATGTCTCCCAGCCACTCAAGGCACTGTCTGCCTCCTGGCTACCCTTCTGCACTCCCAGCTGTCCAGTGAGACACTGAACCAGGTGGGGTTAGGAGAAGGAACTGCAAAAAAAATCTGCACCAGAAACTTTCCTCTGGGACCTGCCTACCCATTAGCAGCTGGGGGTGGGGCAAGGAGGGGAGGAAGGGGCCCTGGCTCCTGCAGCTGATGGATGGACAAGAGTTGAAAGCAGCCAAGCAGCAAACCAGAAATGTGGCAGGGAGGTGTAGGAGCCAGAAAGGAAATCAGAAACCGCCAACAGTTGGGGTTCCTCTTCATCCCCACTACACAACACGAGTGAAACCCTGGTCCCAGGGAAGATTGTGGCTCAGCTCCAATGCATTTTGCCGCAGCCAGGATTACACCCGTCGTGCCCAAGTAATTTGATTATAAGATGGAGCGGTGAAATGTGTGTGAGACACCTCACAAGAGTCCTCTTCCCTCCCCCAAGGAGCTACAAGCTAATGGCAGACGTGACACAGGTTGGGGTCACAAGCCAGCACGTAGGGGTTGGCGAGAGGTGACCAGAGGATGGCAACTGCCTTTCGTGGCACCTTCAGAGGTTTCAAAATCTGTTTTCGTTTTGTGCTGGAATGAAACCCAAACCCCTTCAGACATGGTCGTGACAACAGCCTTGTGTCGAAACATCCATTTGGGGATTGAAACCTGAGTGTGTGTCCTGGTGAGGAGGGCATCAGCATGGTGTGTGGGGGAGCCTGGTTTGGGCCCCTGCGCTAGTTCAGAGTGACCTGGGATGAAAAAGCTCTGAATCAGGCAGTGCAAGGACTTGAACCTCGGTCTCCCACATCCCACGCTGGTGCCCTGGCCACCTGGCTGTATGGTACAAGAGGGGCTCTGAAAATGTCGCTGATGCCAGTATCATGAAATGTTTTGGCTCTGATAAAACAATACATTTTGGCAAAATGAAATGTAGTCGAAAATGTTCGGACCAGCTCTAGCATTGGGGACAGGTAGGCCAAGGGTCACTGTG